CCCACCCCTGCTCCCCACAGCCCCGGGGGGCTTGGGGGCGGCTGGCAGAGGGCTGCAGCAGCACAGAAGCTGGCAGATGCTTTCCCCAGCGCTGCCCTGAGCAAAGGCCCTTGCTGCCGGCGCTGTTGGGAGCATCTTCATCTCTCCAGCCCTAGGGTCCATTGCCAGCTACGTAGTGACCAGAGCTGAGACACAGAAATGCTCCGACTTCTGGATTTACCTGGAGACAGGCAAGTCTCCGCAGGAGCTCGCCGTGGCTGGGGGGGGGTCTCAGCCCACAGGTACGTTCACATCTCTCCCTTCTGCTTTCCCTGGGCTTCTCCTGACTGATTTTTCCCTGCTGCAACAATTTGCTGTTCCTATCTCGTAATTAAGTTGGTGACAGTTTGTGTTATTGTCAAAATCCCTGTGTAAGTCTCATGCTGGCACCCCTTACGATGGGATGGCAGCAGTGCCAGGGCAGCCAGAGCTCCCTGCCCAGTCTCAAGGCTCCAGTTCCCTCTGTGCTCTGGGCCCATCACCTGCGCGGCAGGTACCTGAGCAGGGCTGGCGGTGTGGGGTCGCAGCGCTCGCTTCTGCCTGCTGCCCTGCCTGCTTTGTGGGTCCACGAGAGCCAGTGTGAAGGACTGTTTGCTGGAAGAGGAAGAAGAGGGTAGGGGATGGAGTGAGGCAGTAAACCCCACCACATCCTTGTGCCTAGTGGACTGGACAGATCTGGAGGGGCAACAGGACAGCTGCTTCTGGGCTGTTCCCACAGCTACCTGCTGCTTTCTCCTACTGGTACCCTGAGGTCCCAAAGCTGAAGAGGCTTTAAACACTTCACCAGGGCTCTGTGGTTCTCTGCCTGCCCCTGCCAAACACGCTGGGATAGTTAGGGGTCCAGAGAACTTGTTCTTTCTTTTATAGAAAATCTGCCCAGCCCAGAGGACAGAGAGGACGTGGCACCGCCGGTAAGGAGGAACAAGTACGGGGACGTTGTGGAGTAGGCACAGCTCAGCACACCGTGGCCGTGTCCTGCGCCCTCATCCTGCTGGCCCAGCCGGCTTGTGCGTGTGCTGCCTGTGGGCTCTGTGGCACTGCCTGGGACCCTGGATGGGTCGATCCTGCAGTGGGAGTGTGGTGGAGGCACCATAGGGATTGCTGCCTCCCAGCTGGCTTCTGAACATCGCAAATGGGGGGCACAATAAAAGTCAAGAGCTGAAAGAGCACGTTGTGGATGAAGCAAAGGCTGGTAGTGGGACAGGAAGAGCTGGGGTGCAGGCAGTAAATGTCACCCTGAGGCAGCCCCTCCAGTAAATGTCGGAGCAGACAGCTCTGGTCACTCTGAGGCCACAGCACCCGCAATCCGGCAGCACAGGGCTGTGAAATGACTGCTGGCACGGACGAGTCTGGGCAAAGCTGTGAGAGGGCAGAGCTGTTGCCATGTGCTCTGCTTCTTGAGCCTAGTCGGTCACGGCGTCCCTGCCTCTGCAGCATCGAGCTTGTTCTCATCTGCCTGAACGGGGCTGAGCAGAGCCCTGCAGCTGCATGGCCTCTGGGGGTGTCCTCTCTGTCCCCACAAAGAGGGTGCATGTGTGCCCAGAGCTGCTCTCAGGATGTGTCACCTGGCCGGTCCCAGACTCTCCATCCAGATCTGTAACCAGCCGGCAAGGGAATGGAGCCGTCTTGAATCCCACGCACCCAGCGGGGCACCTGGGAAGATTAAGAAACCTTTTACTTCATTTTTTCCTAGTAACAAGCTCCAAGTCCTGACTAGGACAAACTGGCTGCTCTTGGTGATGTCCAGCTCTGCTTCAGCTGCAGCTGAATTTCTTAGAAGGGAAAACCCAGCCTGGGTTCTGGAGACTCACCACGGGAGGGAGTCCTTGTGCTGGGGAGATGGGCCCCGAGAGGAAACTGGGTCTGGGGACTCAGAGCATCATCTGAACTGGAATCGCATTTGCCCTGCGTAGAGAGATGGGGAGCAGCCAGCGGAATAGCTAAAAGCAAAGTGTCTGCAGGGAATGGGTGGGTTAAGCCGAGTACAGTGTACCGGGAGCAGGGAAGGGTGCTGGTGAGTGAGCAACCCGGGGAGTGGAGCTTGTGCCACCGAGGAACTGCAACTCTCGCTAAAGCTGCTCCTCTCCTGGGGCGAGTGGAGGGACATGGCGGGGCGGGAGGCTCATTCCAGGGGGTTGACGAGTGGGGACTGGCCCCGCGCAGCTGCCCCATGGCTGGATGGGGGCTGTGGTGGCTCTGAGCCGCCTGCGACTGCACAAACAGCCAACCCTGTGGGCTGCTCTCCTGCGCTGCTTGGGTACCAGAACCGGTCCCCTGGGAGCAGAGGCTCCCTGCGGGTTTTCCTCGCATGGAGGCTGTGGCCACGAGCGCAGCTGTGAATGCACGGGATGGAGTCAGCTTGAATGCTGCCTGCTCGTGTCTTTGGGGTGACTGGACCTCTAGGGCTTAGAAACGTGAACTGTGGCTAGTTGAAACTCTTCCATCTCCAGGTGGGCCTGAGTCTGGAGTGAGGTTTCAAGCCCATCTTGGGGGATTCTCCAGCCTGATAGAGCATCCGAAGCCATGATGGTGTCTCAGCACTGGTCAGGCTGCCGGGGATTGAGACCTTCAGGCAGAGATGTGCGGCTGTGTCTGAGCAGACCCCGTCAGCAGCTCTGCCCCTGCGGAACAGCCAGGCTTGGTCATTAGCCTGTTGCTGATCAAGAGCCACAGAGTCCTAGAAGTGGTTACAAAGATTTATTTCTGATTATTAAAAAACCCAACTAAACAAAGCCAAACCTTCTGCACATTAGCAAGTTCCTGTTCTTATTCGTCTGGAAATGAAAGCGCATCCTCCCACTTGCCTGGCATGGGGTGATGCAGGGCTGAAATCCTGAACAGCACAAAGCCTCATGCCCGCAGTGGCACAGCCACGCACTGGGGAGCCACAGCGGCTTTTTGTGGTGTTCCTGGGCGGACAAAGGAGGCTCTGGCTTAGGAACCACAGGAAGGGGGAAGGCACTGCGTCTGGTTGCTGAAGGGGAACCTGCTGCCTGCTGCCCACTTCAAGTTGTTGCTAAGCCCCTAACCAAAGCTCCTATGCTGAGGGCGGTGGAAGTCCAGGCCAGGATCTGGCCCTCAGGAGGGTCAGTGGGGCTTGTGCATCAGCCAGAAGGACAGCATGGGCTCTGGGTGATGCCTGGGCTCCCCAGAAGGCAGGGCTGATGCTCCAAGGACAGGCTAGCGAGGTCCGCTATAAGGACTAGCAGAAGTAATGTTCCCCACCCACCCCATGCACATGAGAATAAATCCTGCTGTGGACTGGACTTGCTGGCCCACTCCAGCGCAGGTCTGGTGGCAGAAAGATGCTCCAGGTCTGAACCTCCAAATCCCAAGCCTGCTCCGGGGTCCGTCCCTGAGTAGCACTGGGAAACCCTGAAGCCATCTCCTGCAGGGCCAGTGGTCCTCTTCTGTCCCATCCCCCCACCTTACTGCAGCTTGAAAGCAAGGGGAGGGCAAAAAGGGACAGCTTTCCTTCTGGGATGGGCAGCGTTGGTTATTGGAGGAGGACATCTCTGAGCACTTGCTGCATCCCGAGTGTTCAGGCCCTGGAGACTCCAGTGGGAAGGATGGTGCTGGGTCCTGCAAACAAGGGCCACCCTGTCCCTGCCTTTAGATTGCGAGGGACTTGCTGCGCCGGAGCAGGCAGACGGCAGTCACCAGAGACGTCAGGGTGGTGACCACAAAGAGCAGGATGAGGATGACCCAGTAGTTGTACAGCATGCTCTTGTGGGACGAGGGCTTCTCTGCCGGGATCATGTTGGTGAGGTTCAGCATGTAGCCCAGGGCCCAGCCAATGGAGGTTTCTCCTGCCTGTGGAAACAGCATGGCATCGTCACCACCCCCATCAACCCTGCTCCTCAGGCCTCAAGAGACCTTCAGGGGACCACCTCGCTGTCAGCCCAAGGGAGCAGAGAGATCTGGGGGAGTCCACAGCACCCTCAGCCCTTGCTCGCCTGTGGGTACAGCCAGTGTGGAACCAAGCAGTGACCGTCCCCTGCTGCGCTGGGCTCACCGGACAGGAGCAGGATCTCCTCTGCTCAGGCCAGTCCTGATCTCATGCAGGTGAGGAGACTTGGCAAAGGTGGAATCCTACCCAACTTCCCAACAAACTAGAGCAACGTGTGTTTGAGATGGCTGGTGTCTTGAGGGCCCAGGAAGGACTGGAGAACCTCACAATTCCTGACTCTATCACTACCCTACAGTCAGCTCAATTTTTTACCATCTCCCAGAAGATCCACCCAAAACCTGGGAGTCCCATCCTGCCCACGTTCCCCGAGATCTTCCCTCATATTGCTTGGGCTCTTTCTTGGTGTGGGCTCATCTCTCCTGCAGCACTTTTTGGCCTATCTCCAGATACCGTGGGGTGGGCATGTGCTCCGGTGTTACCCACCTTCTTCTGGAAGGCGATGTTGGGGAAGGAATGGTTGTTGAACCTGTAGCCTTTGATGGTGAGCAAATAAACAAACATGCTGACAGCGCAGTAATCCGACAGTCTCTTCTCCAGGTTAGGGGCTTTCTGGAGCAGCTGGGTGGGATGCATGGAGGGACAGAGAAAAGGGGTCAAGCCAGCAGGCTCCAGGGTTATTTTCTGTGGCCTGAAGCTCTTGGTGGTTGCATCTGGCTGGCCAAGGTGCTGCACACACCCACCCCAGCCTCTCTTGGTCCCATGTGGGAGCCGTCACCCACCCTGCCCCTCCTCCCAGGGTGCCAGGACCCCCAGGCCCCTCCAAAGGCTGCTCTTGGGCCACAGGTGATGCCCCACACAAAGCAGTCCCCCTCCTCGCTGCCATGCCCAGGCAGCCCACCTCGCTCCAGCTGGTGGCACAGATGGTCTCAGCAGCATCCTTCAGGTCACTGGGCAAGCGCACGGGTCTCCCCATCACGGTCTGGATAAAGTCCACCGTGTAGAAGAAGGCGGAGAAGGCCTGGTGGAGGAGAAGAGGCAGCTGTGAGACAGGCTGGGAGCAAACCCTCCCACCAGCAGCAGCTGCTCTGACCGCTGTGCTGGGCACAGGGACCGCTCTCGCAGCGCTGGGGGTCTGGCTTTGCCGCTGCATGACGCCAGGGGACCAGGGACACCTGCACGCCCAGCAGCCAGGCCACCACCCTGCTCCATCCCAGGACTTACAATGAAGTTTCCCGAAACCTCCGGCTGGAAAATGCCGTCGAAGGAGCAGCGGGAGAAGGAGCAGGTGCTGAAGTTGAAGAGCTTGCTGACGTGCAGAGTGCAGAGGCTCCCGTTCCCGGTGCCGACCACGGTGACAGTGGTGTTGAGGGCGAGGCTGGGCTTCTCCTTCTCCGTGCAGGGGCTGTCATAGACGCTGCTCAGCGACAGGCTCTTGCGGTAGCCCGTGGGCCAGCAGGGATGGGGGACGGTTGCTCGGTAGCTCTCAGCCTGCTGGAGAAGCAGCGCATGGGATGGGCCGTGAGAGCTGTGCCACAGCGTGGCTCCCCCGGCACCGCGCGGCAGCCCTGGCACCACTCCCTGCCTCAGTTTCCCTGCTGGCACGCAGTGGAGGAGCTTGGGCAGCAAGACACAGAGCTGGTAGTTGCCACAAGCATCTCAAGATGACTCGGGACATCTTGGCTCTGGCTGAGGGGTGCAATGGCTTACGGAGAGGGCAGGAGGAAGCCCTGCAACCATGGGAGAGGGTTGGGGGAAACACCCGAGTTGGCTGGGAAATGTGTGCAGCTGGCCCCACAGGGCGATCCTAAAGCCAGGCTGTATAAAGACCAGGGTGTGGGGACAGCCACGGGGTGATGACAACCAGCATCCCCATCGAGCATGTGCTGGTACCTGGAGGAGCTTTGAGAGCAGCCTCTTGAGGACCTGGTCCCTTCCGTAGCATAAGAAGCTGTGGGTGTACACTTTGTATGCCTGGCCATACAGCTTCAGCATCACCTCGTTTCTGGGGTCTTCGATGGTGTCCTTGGTTTCAAAGGTGATCTGTGTGGAAGCGCCTCCAAAGTCCATGGCCCCCAGGGTCTTCTTCTGGGGCTGGATCCATTCCCCAAGCCACCCGCGCTGAGCAAGGGATGAAAGAGCAAGCCTGAGGATGTGACAGGCTGTGGGGCAGCCTGGCCACCATGGCCATCCCCACTGGGCACGTGATCCCCTGCCCACCTTGATGAAGTTCTCCAGGAGGTAGTTTGCAGTGACCCATCCGAAGACCCCTTCCTCTTCCCCTGACAGGATCTTTGCCCCTCGGAAACTGAAGGGGTACGACTTCAGCGTGGCCGTCACGGCGCTGAGGACGGCGTCCGAAGCCTGTGGGTTCGCTATGCTGTGGACCAGGCAAGAGGGCAGAGTGGCAGGGCTGCGCCGGGATGCTACAAGCGGAGCCCCCACTGCCCACACAGCCCTCGGGGTCCGGCCCCGCCACAGCATGTGTGTGGGTCCTCACCTGGGTACCTGTAGGGATGTCTCCCAGAAAAACCCAGCCAATTCCCCTTGTCCCTCCTGAGAAGGAGGCAGGGCTGGAGGTGTGCTCCCTCCTCCTGAGCCCATGGCTGGGCGAGGGGGGGCACGACTCCCTCCTCTATGTGGTTTTTGGGGGGCAATTGTTCTCACTGTGTCCCATCAGGCTGGCAATGGGTGCAGGGGGACTTTCCTCCTGGCTAGCCAAAAAGACGGGGTGGGTTGTCCTGGTGCTGGCCCCACACCAGCCCCTTTTCAGCCAGGGATGGCTGTGCCCTGCAGAGCGTCTCCAGCTCTGAAAGGCAGGAGCAGCTCTGCGAGGGACCTGAAGCAGGGCAGTTGGGAGGGTCAGAAGCTTTGCCTGGCAAAGGGGAGTCATTGCAGCTGTCCTTCACCACCTCCACCCTTGCCATGGCTGGCGGGACTGCGGGATGGCATGGCAGGGCCCCCCAGCAGCGTTTGAGGCCAGACAGCTGGCATGGCCAGAGCAAGCACTCACTTGAGCAGGCGCATGCCAGCCGTGGCGCCCAGGTAGAGAGGGGTGCCTGCATGCTTCTCCTTGGGAACGTCACTCAGAGCCTGGTTCAGGCAGTGCACCAGGCTGGTCCCAGCAGCCGGAGGGCTGGAGCTGTAACTGGAGATGCCAGGACCTGTGGAGAGGAAAGAGCATATCTCCCTGCGGGTACTGGGATGACACTTGGTGGGAAGATGCTTGGTGGGAAGATGCTCAGTGGGAAGATGCTCCATGGGAAGATGCTCTGTGGGCAACTTTGCCCCTCCCTGGATGTTCAGAAGGCAGGTGCTGCCTGTGGGCACGAAGCATCCAGAGCCCAGCCACATCTCCCTGCCCACGCCGCATCCCCTGCTGGCGGACAGCTGGGGAAAGATTTTTTTAAATGGAGAGTGGAAATCCATCCCTTTCTCCTCACTGGGCTAGGCAGGGAGTGGAATTGTTTCCTGGTGGTTCAATGCATGCCGAGAAATTATAAACTGCAGGTGTGCACAGATGCAAGCCTCGGGGGAAGATGGGGAAGGTTTAGGGAACAGAGCTGGACCCCTTCTCACACCTCACTGTGCTGGTGGACACAGGGGGGCCGCTGGGTGGGGAAGGGGCACTTGC